GGCGAAAGACTATGATCATCGTAGTGCACACCGCTGGACCAACGGCACAGAGAGAAGCCCGTGCACGCTTGTTGTAGACCAATGGACTCCGTCAACGTGAACGACAACGAAGGCAGTTTCGCGATATACCGTAGACTGTGCTACATACGTAGGTACACAGACGTGTCATAAAGATGTCAGTGTCACAGAACCCTATCACGATTGCCATGGAAACAGGCACAGCTACATACAACTACCCAGTATCACGGTTGCCATAGCAACCGATACAACCAACTAGAAACACACACCTTGTGAACATCACGTACGGCCACAGACACAACAACATACAGAGGAGCTAGCTGTTGCAGGATACGTGTGTTGGCTGTCTTGTAGATATACCGTCCGTCTTTCTTGAGTGGGTCACCCTTCTGTACGTTGCTGGTGCTCTTGAGTAGCTCAGTTAAGCTCTCGTCGTATTGAAAGTGCAGTGATTTGAAGCACAGGACGTCCTCCTCAATGTCACTGCCGAGTGCGTGTGGCGACGGGCGTTAGGCAGGGGCATGATGCGCGAATGGACATGCATGTGTACGAAGGACTGCTAGTCTTAAAACGACTCTCTCTCTCTCTCTCACGCATATATATATTTGTATGTGTATGATAAAAATGTATATATGGGAAGGATAGGAGTTCACACTCGCATACCTTAGCGCTGCAGGGAAGGTACCCATGGGTCTATCTTTGTAGGCAAACTTCTCGAAGACTTCCGTGTGCTTAGGCTCGTTGTAGTACATTTTGGCCATTTCCTTTCCGTTGCCAAAGTGTGTCATGTACAGCAGATGATACGGTTTGTCTTTGCTCAGCGTCTGAATGGACCGCTGTAACGCCAAAGCTGCCAATCAGTAGTAAACGTTTCAGATATACATGCGAGTGGTTTTATATGCAAACAACTCGATGAACGCTTACACGCTTTGTAGCATATCTTCTATATAATAAAACTATATACTGACAATAGTGATTATGTAGGTAAAATGAACGAGTATGAATACACACAAACTGCAACGTTCCTCTAAATATATAGAAACAGGAAGAAAACACTGAACCCTAAACCCTAAAACCCTAATGAACGCTTACACGCGTTGTGGCCTACCTCGCATGTAGATAAAGTAGCGGTGGCCGAATTGGGGATTAAACATATGCGTGCTCTCTTTGATGTAGTGGATCTTCCTGCGCACACATCAAGGGGAGAGGTCAGCGGAAAAGATCGAAGTGATTGTACATATCTCAGAAGCAACACACACACACAGATAAGCGAGAGATGCCAGGCTAATGCTGCCCTTGTAAAACACATACTATACTATACTATACTATACTACACTATCATTACTGTTAATACGCACTATATATTCTCACTATTAGTCCTACTATACTATACTATACTATACTATACTACACTATCATTACTGTTAATACGCACTATATATTCTCACTATTAGTCCTACTATACTATACTATACTAAACTAAACTATACTATACTATACTATACTATACTATACTTTTATTTCTAATAGCAAGCACTATATAATCACACTATTAGGCCTACTATATTCTTACTACTATACTATATTATAGTATAGTATAGTATAGTATAGTATAGTATTGTATAGTATAGTATAGTATAGTATTATTACTATTATTTACGCCCTATTCTTTCACACTCTGAGCACTGTTTTCCGCCACATACTTGCCAACGTGTATGCCGTCTTTTTTGCCGCTGTTGTTCATTTTGTGCACTTTGAGATTCAGCTCAAACACCGGACGACTCATCCGAGTGATCTGTGCAGCAAACAAAAAGCATCACAATTCTCAGAAGCAGCAGGAGACAGGAATGACAAGACAATGAAAGACAGACATGAAAGACAGACAATGAACGACAGACCATAGCCTTCTTGTGAATATAGAAGACTATGAACAGGCGCAGATATACTAGTGAGGGGAGAGTGTTAAACTAAGCAAGGATATGCATACGCTGGAAAAAACACACGGTGGAGAAAGCCTAATAGAAAAAGAACACACGGCGGAGAAAGCCTAATAGTTCAGGCATATTTGCATGTGTTGTTGGAGAGTAGAACAAGTACGAAGCAATGGCAATGAGACGATTGAAGTATCTGTCTATGTACCTGTACATGATATATATACGTGTATGTGGAAATATGCAGTACAGATGCAGATAAATGAATAACTACGAGCATAATTGAACGTTGTAATAAATTTTTGATGTCTACAGATATAAATATACATTTGTTCATATCTATATATTCACACACGCACGCACACACACAGACACAAACACAACACAACACACACACACACACACACACACACACACACACACACACACACACATATATATATATATATCACTGGTACCTACTATAATAAATGATGAATACTTCCACATGCACGCAATGGGCAACTCGAAATAGCAGCTTGTTATGGCACTCACGGCAAAGCCCCTGCCACTGCCATCTACCGCCATGAGAAGTACACCCAAGAGACATGGAATACGTGTGTCAGCCCTCACTATAACATACGTTATTAGGGGAACCTACCGTGAACGGGTGCTTGTTTGAGTAATGCATGTCCTTGAACGTAAACCACTGCGCCTGAGGGGTGGCTGGCTGGTAGACACAAATGTTTGAGAACGAACACTCTTCCTTCATAGACTGGGATTGCGCATTGCATCTGTGGGGGAATTTCAGATGTAGGTCATCAGCTTGGACGTGTGATTCCAACCCCCCCTAACCTAACATATATATATATATATATATATATATAGTACTATATATATATATATATATATATATATATCATATACATATACATATACATATACATATACATATACATATACATATACATATATATATATATATACTTATATATATATATATATATATATCAACAGCTAAGTTTATTAATATGTTGTACCTGACTTAGAAAGCAGAACAGCCGGTAATTATTTCGCCGAGTTTGGCATCGCGAAGATAAAAGTGCGTAGAGTACTTCGACTAGTCAACGAACTAGGCATAAAAGTCTGTAGCCTGCCAGTCACGGGCGAGAAATGTCGATGACAATGTCGCCCATCCTTGTGATATCAATTATATGCACCTGGCGATAAATTATATTCACCTAGAGATTAATTATATGCACCTAGAGATTAATTATATGCACCTAGAGATTAATTATATGCACCTGAAGATTAATTATATGCACCTAGAGATTAATTATATGCACCCAGAGATTAATTATATGCACCTAGAGATTAATTATATGCACCTGGAGATTAATTATATGCACCTGGAAACTACTTCTATTCTTATTCCCTACTTCACCACGTATCTCACATCGTATCCACGCACCAGCACAACATCATAGTGACCCACTTAAATATGTATGCATGTATGTAAATGTTTCCGGTTTGGTAGCACGCGTTTGTATTCACAAACTTGTCGAGTCAGAAGCTAGAGGGCACTAATCCGTGCCCACTGTACGTACAACCACTCACTTGAAGTGCGGGTTTCCGAGGTCACGGGGATCAAGTGGCACCCCCTGGATGCGGTGGTCGTCGGTGCGATTGGTTGTGCTGTTAATGCTCATCAGCTGGTCAATCTGAAGTAGCACGCATGCGTCGTGTGGAGATACGTAGAGGTGAGATGGCTTGTGGGTGTATAGGTATACAGATGTCTACAGATGATATGCATTTAGGGGCATATGCCGCTCATCTCATATTAATACTATCCTGTCGCAGGCGCGTCTGCGTAGTAGGTCTTGTACAACCTCAACCATTATATATATATATATATATATATGTATATATGTATATATATATCTATGTATATATGTATATATGCATATATGTATATACATATATATATATATATATATATACACACACACACACACATATATATATAGATATATAGATAGATATGTATACATATAATCGGTTCGTCAGCTCGGTGTATGCTCAATACCCCACATGTATATATGCGCATACGTATGATGTTGTGCTCCGTAAAAGGTGGAGTGTGTTGGTATATATACCCCACCTGTGTATACTAATTTGTATATTCCCATCTGTTTGGTTTTGCCTACATATGCACTTTTATGTATAATATTGATACATAAAAGTAAAGAGTGTGATTATATATTCCAACCTGTTCGTCTATTGCTTTGTCTCCGGTGTGGATATCCAGTATTTGCTGAGTCATCGTGAGGTATGTATTGCCAGTGGTTGTATTGGGACCAGGACTCCTGAATTGCACAAGGAAGTAGAAAATAGAGTGACGTGACCATCAGCATGGCCACATGGACACGTGTGTACTTCTGCCTTAAGCTGTGATCATTGACATACGATTAAATATAATGTAATATATATATATATATATATATATATATATATATATATATATATATATATATATATATATATATATATATATATATATATATATATATATATATATATATATATATATATATATATATATATATATATATATATATATATATATATA